CCCCCCGACGTGTCTTTCTCTCTTTCTTTCTTTAACGCGCTCGCTCGATCACACACACAAACACATACACACACACACACATACACTCACACACACACAAACACACACACACACACATACGCACACACGTGTACAGGTTTCAGATTCAAATCTAACAGCTTGAGACTCAGAGCCATGGATGGACTGGAGACTGATTCAACAACTTCTATCAAAATTATGCACATCCTTTTGGGAGATATTTCAGTCAATAATGATTTTTGGGTAGATTTTCAAAAGATTAATGGCTCATAAATTTAAAATAGAACGGTAAAGTTTATCGGAGTAAAGCTTAAGCACTCGCCTTGGCATAAAGTCGATTCATACAGGGCCATAAAAAAAAATATCGAAAAGCAGCTGGTATAACCTTCAAATAAAACCCCAAACTATTGTATTACTTTTTATCATTATTCTTTTAAAATTTTGTATTTTTAGTTAAAGAAAAGCACGTAGACACGATCACTGTCATAATGTGAGGCATCAGAGTGAAATCAGGGGCTCGTCAAAATAATAAAAATCCAAAGAAAATGCGTTTTTGTTACAGTTTGGCAATTTTTACCTTAATGTTTTTGGCTCAACACTTTTTATGTCCATATAAAAGCACATTTCTATGTGAATTTTACTGAAAGACGTTGATTAATGGTACAAAATATGTAAATTTTCAGTTTTCAACGACTCTCAAGCTATAGATGTTACCAAACTTTGGCGGCCAGTTTCGCGCTAATTTTACTTGTGAAACCAGGCTGCTCCCACCTCCTTCAATCGCAAATATTTCGACTTCTAGTTAAGATATATATGTATTTTTTTTTTCATAACAGGGCAAATGAATAAACTTTCAGATAATATCAATAGCTCCACAAGCTCAAAAATTGACGAGCGCCTGGTTCCTCCCTGTCATGACACCTAGGAAAAGAAAAAAGACAGAAAGACAAACAACACACGGGAATAGTACAAAAGTAGGACTGCCATTGGCGATCTATTATGTACCTGCGTCCGCAACTTCGTTTGATGCAAGTATTGAGAGATCCTCCTTTTAGGGAGTTCCGAAGTATTCTATAAATCAGCCCCTGAGAGAGAGAGAGAGGGAGAGAGAGAGAGAGAGAGAGAGAGAGAGAGAGAGAGAGAGAGAGAGAGAGAGAGAGAGAGAGAGAGAAAGACAGAC